GAGATGTAGTTCCCGAAAGGCACTACCATGGCGGCCGCTGAGCCCAGACTTGTTCTTGACAATGTTGCTGATGTTTTTCAGCTGCTTGTAGCACAGCTTGCATTTATGGAGCCTGCAAAAAACCAGACAGCAGACACAGCATGAATCCTCAGCTGCTTAAGAGATGTGCTTGTTCCTGTAGCATCAAAGAGGCGACTCAAGCAGGAGAGAAAACACAAGCCCTGCAAATGGCTGGAAGAGGCTGAAACATGAACATGGCTCTACAGAAACACTGTGTATTCAGCCCACATCCTGATGACACAGGAGAATGGCATCCACATTAAGGGCTCTTTCACTCCTCATTTTCCCTTTGGCAGTAAAGTCCAGGGAGGAGGCAGGTGCCTCCTTTTCAGAGGGCCAATTCTCAGAGCAGACCTATCTGGTGAATGAACTGGAAATCCAGGGCCCGGCTGGCAACTCATGCGTCTTGTGAGGTAGAGGGTGAAGCCACGGGGTGGTTTTACTCCTGACCCACTCACACTTTGTTTAGGTATGACTCAATACACAGTGACAGACAAAAACGCAGTCCTTGGTCTTTTTCTGAGTGCAGGAGGGTTTGGTGCTTGCAGACAAAAGGGAAGGCATGCCCAGTCTAGTATCACAGCCTCGATGGCGAGGAGCAAAGCTCACCCAAGAGTAGGGCTGGTTCAAAAAGGGAGCCAGCGGAGGTACGTGCCTCACCTTTCCTCTCTGGTGATGTCCACTCCAACAGAAGGTGGTGCAGCAAGGATGTCTGTGATCAGTGGCAGGAACCTCTGGAGAATGAGTTTCAGGGAGGTGCAGCCCGTCTGCACATAACTGAAAGACAAACAGAGAATTGGGTCCCACTTGAATTTCATTCCTGCCCTCCCAGCACACAGCCCTCGCTCACATCCAGCCACTGTGGAGAATCTACTCAAATGACACTCCTTCACCCCCGTAACCCGGTAAGGAGAGCAACAGCCGAGTACCAACAAAGGTCCTGGCTCGAGTCACGACTGACAGAGTTGGCCCTTCTGAGAGGTCCTGGCGTACACCCTGCAAAGCGGGGCCTTTCTGCTCAAGAGCAGAGACATCCTGCCGAGGGCACTTGGCAGGAGCCTCTCTCCCAGTAGGAAGGAAGGGCAGGAACTCCATCTTAAGAGAGCGGCTGCATATTTTTGCCACCTAACGATGAGGTTCAAAGCAATCTTCCAAGAGACCCCAAGGCTGTTACGGGACTTCATTCCCCTTGTCCCAAGCCAACAGTTTCACTCCCGTCAGTCAGCAGAGTCCCCTTGTTCTACATCGATTTGACCCCTCCTGGCTGCCAGAGCTGCCTTCGATCCAACACACCTACGCTGAACCTCAGCATCCCGTTCTTCTTGCCCACGCACGCTTTCCATATCTTTTCCCACACATGCTTGGCAACTCCATTGCTCTTTTCCAGACGTTTTATCGACATTATACTGTATCTGCTGTGATTTGTTCAGGATTTTCTTTAAGCTACAAGATAGCCAGTGGAGCTCTCCTATCAATATCCACACCTTGTCCCCCAAGCACACCATGTTCTTTGGGTCTCACCTTTCATATTTACTTTGGAGTAGCTTCTCTATCTGCGGCAGGACTATAGTACATAAATCCAGCTTCCAGAGAGACCTGAAAAGAAAAGGACACATTCTGAGACTGAGGACTGAGGCTTCACAAGGCTGAGTCGACGCAAATAATGCTTTCTGGCAAAAAAAGCCCAGGCAGCAGCACCCAAGTTTACTGTGCAAGTTCCCTGACTCCCCCTTGTGATAGAAAGTGGCAGGTTCTGACACATTTTATGGACTCAGCAGAATCACTTTATGAAGCCCCAAGGCTTCAATTTCCCTTGCGAGGCATCATTTGCCCACAGAAAAGGCCCCACACAACTCGGGCGGTTACTGGCACTGCAGGTTTGAAGACCCGACCACAAGCACACGCATTTCACGCTGCCATGGCCCACTGGACAGGAGGCAGGTCGAGCACAGCGCTCCCGACGCCCAGCCAGACGGCTCTCGGGTATCCCAGGGGCTGCCCCCACCCAGGACTCACGCTTTTTGGTTGACAATATTCAAGAGGTCCACGACAACAGACAGATCGTTGATTGCCACTGCAGAGTCCACAGAGTTCTGAGAGAAAAGGGGAAGAAGTTGTCTATTGCAAAGCTCAAACTGGCTAGACTAATGCAATCAATATCTGGCACCACTTTTCAAAAACAAGGTAGAGGAAACGTGGAGTTGGCTAGGGAAGAGAAGATAACTCTCACGTGAGAAAGTTTTCTCCATGTTTCTCTGTGACCATTCAAAAGTGGGACCCAGCAGCACTCTGTGGTGCAGCCCTGGGGACAAAAGCTGTGAGAACCCACATTTTGTCCAAGAGGCAGAATCGGCCCCAGACAAGCCTCTCCTCACAAGCCTCAGGTATCTCCACATCCTTGCCTTGATGTCACCGGTGCTCCATACAGCCCGTACGGCGTCCAGATTCTTGTGGCGGCTGGTGAGTACCACACACATGGTCTCATGGCCTTTCCTGATCTGGGACATGGCTTCCTCGTCCACGAGCTCGGTCTGGCTTTGGTTTTTCACAGCCTGGAAGTACAGACACCAACGGAGGAGCGGCAACAGAGCAGGATGGCACAGAAGGATAGGAGCCTTCTCTAGCTTAGGTGAGAGCTAATTTTGGTGTACAGAGGGACAGGAAATACTGACTTCCTTGCAGATTCTTTTATAAACATTTTGAAACAGAAATGCTCAATTTGTTCCAACTTCAGCTACTTCTCTTTTGCCTCTTCTACTACGTCAATCACAAACAGGTTTGAAGCTTTGGCAAAACTCTCAAAATTGAAAAAAGTCAATCAAAAATAAGCTTTCAAAACCAGTATGTTTTGATGAAGAAATGTTTTCATGCAAACCCTGGGGTTTTTATGTGAAATGTTCATCTGAAATCAACAAATGCTATTACAAAGCATAAATCTTGCACAATTTATTAGACTCTCAATTTGATTCCCGCCCATACTATGCTGGAATCTCTCTTCCTCTGCTCACATTTGGAGTTTGGGATCATGAGGATGCTCTGGTCCTTCTCCCTTTTTGGGACAGGGAATACGCCCCTGAGCAAGGCCAAGACGTCCCCAAGACACAAGAGGGAAAGACTCATAATTATATATGTGTAATGGCAGACACCAATTTTCTATATGAATTACTGTCCAGCACGTGGAATTGTTCAGTGTCTTTCACCCCTTGCTCTCTGCTTTGCCAACACATTCTTTGTGACCATGGATCTACGTTGCTGTGTTCACAGCAGCCTGCCATCAATCGCAACAGGGTGCTAATTCCACCAGAACTGCAAGTGAAAGCAGTTGGGAGGCAGGAGAGAAAGCTGGACACAGGGGATGCACCAAGTGAGCAGAGGGAGAGCGGGAGGTAACAAGTTCTCATTCAGTACTGAGGACTGCAGGCTGCAGAAAGCACCTAAGACACTTCTGCACCTCAGAGAACCCCCTTTCTGACGCCACCCAACACAGACACTGGCTGGAAACATTTGTTCAGAGACACTTACTGGTAGAAAGTCAGAGGCCTTCAGGCCAATGGGCTCATTCCTGGCTGCAGGAATCACCGACGGCTCTGTTCTGGTCAAGGGAGTCGAGGAGGCAATTGGTGGCCTCTGAAACGGATCAGGCTACAAGAGAAATTGGGATAAAAGCTCTAAAAACAACAATCTGGCATTAGTCTGATGTCACAGAATCCCAGACTGGTTTGGGTGGGAAGGGACCTCCCAGCCCATCCAGTCCCACCCCCTGCCACGGGCAGGGACACCCTCCACTAGCCCAGGGTGCCCAAAGCCCCATCCAACCTGGCCTTGAACACTGCCAGGGAGCCAGGGGCAGCCACAGCTTCTCTGGGCACCCTGTGCCAGGGCCTCAGCACCCTCACAGGGAAGGATTTCTGCCTCACATCCCATCTCCATCTCCCCTCCTGCAGCTTCAGGCCATTCCCCTTGGCCTGTCACTCCCTGCCCTTGTCACCAGCCCCTCTCCAGCTTTCTGTAGGCCCCAAGGTCCTTTCTTCCTGACCCGCTTTCCTGTCAGCACAGTCCTACTGCAGAAGCAGTCTCCAATTTGCTAGCACAGTTTAAGAGGCAATAAAGTATCTCTCAGGTACACACCAAGATATAATTAAGGTTTGCAAAGAACATGGAGATGCCCCAGCAGAAGTGCCAAGTGCTGTCATTGTTATCAGCATCTGAAATTAGGGCAATGGGCCACGGCCAGCCTGAAGGCAAAGACAGAATTCTAAAGAAGCCAGTATAAGGCATCCCAGCCCACCAACTGCTCGCCACAAAATAGCCTCAGGTCAAGTACTTGCAGAAACCTGGCACTTGGGTCTCTTCAGAGTGCCCCAATTTTGAGATGCAAGAAGAAACATCGGTGCAAGAGTGAGAAGCGAACAAAAGCAATAGAGCCATTGCCTGTTGGGAGTCTTGGCCTTCAATTCTACTGCTCAGGCAAGACACATGCAGGACAAAGACTGCAGCTGCACTTTTACTGCTCTTCAGTAAAGACATCAGCTTGATTAAAAATGATAAAGCCTCCAGCACTCACATATCTTTCAGAATGGGAGCATGAAGAGCTATTAACAGATCATATAGTACGTACAAGTTCCTGCTTTGGCAACGGGGTCTGGACATCCGCAGCTTGGCTGGGCTTCACTGCTTCCTTTGCAGTTACGGGCTCTACCAAGACGGAAAGAAGTGGGAAAGCAGAAATTGATTGTTCCTTTCAAGACAAGTTGAGAGCAAAGGTTCTGTATAGCTTAGACTACAAGTAGTCATTTCTGCAGCCATGTGGCTCTCCCTCTTTCGAGGGCCATTAACCCCATTCCCACCAAGGGGTCATTTTCATACTCACCATCCTCAGGAGGGGCTGGAAAGGGCTCGTTGTTTCGAGGAGGAGTTCGACCTACAGAAAGAGAGAAAAAAAAAAATGTACAAAGGAGCATCCAAGGCTACAGATTAGTGATAAGTCAACCTTGATGCTGGGAGATCTCCGACGACTCCACCGATTAGGGCAACCAGTGATAAGGCAAGCAGAGTTATCTCCTTCAGACCTTGATGCTATTGCTGAGTTTAGCCAAAGGCTTTCAGCCTTCATGGATGGGAGGGACAAAACTGACTCATGTTGCTCCTTGCTGCTGCAGATGTGTGAAGCACAATAAAAGGCACTGTCACAACAAATTATATTAGAAAAAATTCACCTCCTGCCAAATTAACTTAAATAAGTAAATAAAAATTATGACTATTAATTCCTTAGAAAGAGTATCTCATTTTTCTCATTTACATAAAAATGAGATACAGGCATTGCACTATGCCTCCTAAAGAACAATCTCTGCTTTAACAAAACATTTTGCCCTTTCTTCTTTAATGACGGCTGCTGATTTTATGGAAATCAAAATTCTAAGCTAATAAAGATCCCATAACACTCTAGTCCCTCCTAATAGGGACAGGAAGGCAATACTTACAACGGAATTCCAGATTCTAAGCCAGGCTTCAACCAGACATCACTGCACCAAGGTAAAGGTGCCACCCGGCAGCAGATCACATCACACCAAACACTATCGGTGGTTTAGTGTCCAAGCATAGAATATTAAATAAAAGTTTTCTAGTCTCCCCCAGTCACAGGCAAAGCCAAAGCTCACTTCTACCGAACCAATTTAACGCCTACAGCTCTAACCCAAACACCGCTCAAAAGCACAATAAACTCAGGTACTGACAGATAGCATTCTTGGGCTGGAAGATCTCTTTGTAATCCTCCTGGTTCTGGATCTCAGCCTTTGATTCCTTCTCATCCCGGTCATCTTCACTGCTGGGACTGCGCCTCTCGCTCTCTGAGTTGTGCTTCACTCTGCTGTGGAAAAAGAAATGCTGTCAGGGAAGTCATATGGACTCTGTCAGACAGAGTGAGAGGGCCAAACTCATTGCAAACTTCCTAAAATCTTGAAATCCAACAAGCCAGCAGATCCCCTTACCTTTGTGGCTTGCTGCAGCTAGTTGAGGGCCTGTCATAGATGCGGCGAAGGGAGGACCCCGTGGGGGTAGGCGGCACAAGAGGCTCTTCATCCCTGATCAGCCCATGAGGAATGGAACCCGACTTTGTGACTCTGCTGAGATCCACAACGAAGGAAGAGACTGTGCTTTGCGCAAAGGAAACTCCTATCTGCAGAGGCAAAAGATCAAGGTAATTCACCAGGGAGCAGAGCGCACACCAGCTTTTTTGAGAACAGGCATGATGGAGTGACCCTGAGCAACCGTGCTTGAGAATGTCTCAGTTCAGTGCTTTGGCTTTTTCAATCTGAAGCTGCCAATATTTTATGAAAGGCTACAATAAAACTTTTGCCAAGCATAATTTCTAAATGCTGGTCAAACCAAGCCTCAGTTCTTTCCTCCAGAAGCCAAGAAGAGACAAAGTGGAGCACAAGGCTGCTGAAAGCAAAAGCACATGAGTTAAGTCTAAGTGCTGGGCACAGTGCAAGCCCTGGCCACTTACAGTGTGACATAAGCTTAAAGGTCAGAAGGTCTGCAAGGAGGCAGGAGGATTTTATCTCATGTTTTGCAGCCGTCTCCTGCACTCTTCATGAGCAGTGGCTTACCAGCTGGTTGTTGCAGATAGATAAGTCAGCTACTTTTCCCCAGTTCACCAAGACCACATCAAAACAGCGCTCTGGCTCCCAGCCGTACACACGCAGCGAATCCTGGAAGCCACTATACAAGCAGCAGCCATCTGGGTTGAAAAGCACACACCTGGGAGGAAGGCAGGTGGAGAATTAGGCACAGCTTTCCAACCTCGCTCGGTCCCACAAGGACCCCAGGGCTGTATCCCTGACTTCACTGAACACCTCCAGACCCGTTTCTAACAATAAACCTACCGATCTGGTGTTCACTTGTGCAACATGTCCAGCAGCCCAAACTTCTCCCGAGTAAAGTCTCTCTTTCAGGAAGGCCTCCCTTCGCCCCCACTTTAGTCTCTGCCCAGGACACTGCAGTAGGAATTTAATATACCTGACAGGAGTAGCCTCCTCTTCAATACAGCTCACAACTTGAAACTTCTCCAAGTCCCAGAACCGAACAGTCCTGTACATGCAACAGAACAAAAATCATCACTCATCCCTCTAGAAATCTGCTGTACGACCCAGTATTGAAAGAACACGCTAACAGCTAGAACGACTTTTGCTGTTGTGCACATATGATGAACCTACACAGAAGTCTAGCTAAGATCCGTGAATCCAGCCACAGATGCTTAGAGGCTCTAGATACAGATCGGTATGTAGAGCTGGCCCAGAGCTAAGGACACCCTGCTAGCTGAGCAGGACTGCTTGCTGCTCAGATAGGATGTCAGCTGGATTAGTGAGATGCTTGAGGCTATCGCATTGTTTTCTAGTATGGCAGGAGGTGCCATCAATTTTGGATGAGAAGGCAAGAGCTCCATGTTCTGCGCGTCACAGATGTGACGGGCTGCTGGCTACGTGTCGGGCTCTTGCAATGGCAGGTTTGAGCTGTGCTACATTCCTGTTTTCTATGTTCCTGAAAGGAAAAGCATCGAGAAAGGGAACTGACATATACAATTCCTTTCTTTCTCCCTCCCCTTGTGTACCTGTCAGAGCTGCCAGAAGCCAGAAGGTATTCATTGGGATGGAATTCAACAACGGTTACTGGGCCGGTATGTCCTGTAAACTCAAACATTATCTTCCCAGCAGCCAGATCCCACAGCTGGAAGAAAGAAAGAACAGAGACACTATGGAAAAGATTTAATGTTAGAGAATTCCAATACGCTTTGGATTTCCCTGTACTGGCAACCTTCTAACATTTCTCCCCCACCAAGAACAGACTCAAGTTTGTCAAAGAATGCAATGATCAGGGAAGGATTACTGTCCCAATCATTTAAAGCTCCTTTTATTTTTTTTTTTCCCCTTTCTCCCCTTTTTTTGGCATTTTCTTTTAAATTGTCTATTTAGTTTTAATTCCTCATTTGTTCCCTGGAAGCTTCTGGTATAAAATACAGCAGTTCCACCTGTCCCCACAGATTAAATTTCTAAAGCAAAAACCCTGAATCCTTTAGCAATTCATTCTTCCTGTGCTATAGTCTTCATTGAAAAATCCAGAGTGAAATGACTGATCAGTTTATTTCACGTGAAGCTGAAAACAAAAATCAGTCCTTTCGCTCACATCCCTCCATACCACATCAGAAACAAGTGAAGTCGCTGCCTCAGTCTATACTTTTCTGAATTCCTTCTCTTGCTCTGCTCTGTCCTGACAGCAATTTTCAGACTGATCATCACGTGCAATGTGTATGATAACACAACCCGACTGAATTAACTGACCAGAGCCAGAAATTGATATGGTGAAGCAACGTGCTGTGGACAACTCATTGTCTAACATTTACTGAGAGGAGAGAGGCCAACGTTCAGGTATTGCAACTCTACCACCATCCAAACTTGACCCTTCCTGTGCACAGTGCCAGCGTGTCTGTTGGGTAATCGCATTTCAACACATGTGGCTCTTTTCTGGATGTTGTGGGCCACCGGACACGATCCTCACAAACTGACCGGTCCCTGCTACGCCACAGGGCTCAGCCAGCTGCCTAATGAGCTAAACGTGTTTGAGTGAGCGAGTGCCGGTAATGCCTGGTAGAAAGACAATCTCAGCACTCCTATGTGCCATGAGCACATAAGGAGAGTGTCACAATAAATTACCTTTACAGTGTGATCATCAGCAGCAGAGGCTAACCATTTCCCATCAGGACTAAAGCGGAGACATCGAACTGCTTCTGTGTGACCCTGAAATGAGAAAAACAAATAGTGTTTGTTGTTTTTTTTCTTCTTCCTTTAGAGGGAATTCTGGCTTTTGTCTTTCAATCCTATACAATGTAATAAAATAAAATCAAGTAACTGTTTCACAGAGTCCACAGCTCACAGAACACCAAACACGACACTCAAGACCTATACCCGTCCACACTAAATGGGTGTAATCTCTCTCATCTAGGCGTTTCTGGCATCAGTCTAAGCATGGTAAATACAGATCTGGCTTAATTAATAAGAATCAATTTTAAATTCTTCAGCTTTATGGGTGGTCAGATAGAAGTGCTGTGCCATTAACTTAGTTTCTAAATGACATCAATATAGAGCAAGTTCTTTGGGTAGAAAAGGGCCCTGCGAATAGAACCATCTCAGTGCGGGGGGACTTGCACGGTACTACCAGTAATATAAACACTCGTGGATGCTCTCCATCCCCCCAACCAGACTACAGCACATTAACTCCTGTGATACCCATTTTGTGTTCCCATAAGTTCAGAGGCCTGCAGAGGTTTGCCAGGCCACTTCACAAATCGTGCAGATCTTATTTTTATACTGGCAAACTAGGAAGTTAATTGTAGACAATCACTTTAAGGCTTGCTCACAAGTCCTCAACAGAAATCTTTCTCCCTTCTTCTCCTGAAAACTAATGAAGGATTTTACCTTGTACCTGAAGACACAGCCTTTTCTTCTTACATCCCAGAGCTACGGGAAAGAAAAGCAAACACAAGATACGCTTAGAGCAGTACGTGGGGAGCCCGAGAGCCCCGTCAGAACAAGAGCTCTCTCTGTCACCAAGCTGATAAACACTGCAGAATGAAAACACTGAAGGGGCTGTTGAACCCCTGTTTCCTTCAAGGGTATTTCCTAATCTAATTTCCCAAGTGAGAATCACTTCTGTAAGGTATTTCTTTACTACCAAAGCTCAGTTCCTACAGTTAAATACCAGCCTGATGAAGCAGATGCAATCCACAGCCATCAGAACATCTGTGCTGGCTGACACCAGGTCTTGGCTGGCACCTAACTCAGAGCCACATTCCACAACAGAGGAGTCACACTCATGAGCTACCACTGAAAATACATGCACAGATTTCACAAGCGCTTGCAAATACACCTGCCCACACACATGGAAATGATGAGGTACAGCATCTAGCAACAGCTTGGCACAAAACACGTTCTGGCATTCTTCAAAACAAAGATACTGCAAGTAAAGAGGGGAATCTCCAGGGGAAGCTGGGCTTTACCTTAATATTTGTGTCCAAAGAGCCAGATGCCACAAAGCTTCCAAAAGGATGGAAATCAAGGCTGCAGATATTCGCTTTGTGACCGAGTAAGGTACGAAGAACTGGGAAAAGGAGAAGCAGAGCAAGGAGAAGGAAAAGGGAGCAAATATTTAGTAGTTCATTTCACCCAAACATCATGCAGAAGTTTAGCCATACTATCCTCACCATTAAGCACATGGTACTACAACGTACATTAGACATGCTACATATCATTTATTCACCTGTACACGTGATTTTATGGAAATTTACCCTACAGCAATAGAGGCCCTATTTCAACGATCCTAATGAATTTCCTCTCCTTAGGTGTGGAAACTACGAATAAAACTCAAAGGTCTCCATCCTGAAAAAAAGACTAAAAAGCCACGCTTTGAGGCAACTGTCAGGCAGTGTAGTGTATCTTTCCACTTGTTACAAAGAGCAAAATGGGGGGGAAGATATCAGTTTCAGCCAGGAAGTGAAAGGGACATAAGATTGTCTGTGTCATTCACTTCGCAGCTATTAGACGGAGCCCCTCCTGCGACTCTGCACCCCTGTCCAGGCACAAGCCTGACTTCCACCTTTTACTTTCCAACATTTGCACTGGACTCCTTCAACTGCCCCTTGCAAGAAGCGTCCCAAAGTCCAGCAAAGGATGCTGAGGAAGCATGAGACAAAGAAATGATCACAGTGTTTCAGCAAGTCATCGACCACGTAACACCCCTTGTAATTTTGGAAACCGGAAAGGACCAGTAGAACTGGTACACTGTATCTCTGAAAGCAGAGACGAATGCAGAACTCAACTTCGAGGAAGAAAAATTGCTTAGATAATAACAGGGGCAATCTCTCTCCATCATCCGTCCTCTGGGACGGCCTGATGATTCCCCTGGCAGAAGTTAGCTCTTGAGCCAGACCTGGAGCGATCATTTGCACAGACACTGGCTCATAGGTCTCCTAATAAATTCAGCCAGATTTTATAACTGGAGTGATTCTAACTGTCTGAATGACAAAAGTGCTTTTTATTATTTATGCCACCTGCTGTCTGCCTTCTTAGCTCAGGCAGCGTAAGTCTATTTTCATTACGCATTCTTTCTATGAACAAGTAGCAACCTACAATGAAATATTCAGTCATTTTACAGTATTCCTGCTAGAATGCACTCAAGTGATTCATGATACCTTTGCAAACCTGGTCTAGGATTTGAGAAAAATGCAATAAATAAAACATAACTCAACAGTTGTCCTTTAAAGGCTCAGACCTCGATGATTCATAGCTTTTACAATTTATTAAAAATTAGCTCTTTGTCTATTTATATGGTCATGCAAGAACAGAAGAGGAGAAAAATTGCTTGAGGAAAAAATTAAAGTTAGAACCTAAAAATGAGAACAAGAGGTCAGCAAGCGGTGACTTGTGCAGAATTGTGCAATTCCTGGACTTGTGCAGAACCTAATATACTTAAAACCTCCAATCTGATTTTAGATTTCCAGTATCCTTTTATTAAGGTTGACAATTTTAAGCTGAGACTCTGAATACAATTTCTACATGCCTAGTTACTCTATATGTGCATGGAAACTGATCTGGAATACACATTTCAGCAGTCTCAGGTCAAAACCCTAGAAACTAGTTCCTCAGATGACGTACAGATCGTACAAATTTCTGCTCGAGCGTGCATACATAGCTCTACAGTCTCAGAAGGAAGTGCACAAAAGCCCTCCAAGAGGGCTGGAAATTAAGATGAAAGCAATGCCAGGCTCCTGTTCCTTCTAAGCTGGGAATCTTCTGGGTCAGCACAGATATTAAGCATAAGGATACTCCAAAAAGCGTGCCTTAACAGAAGTGAAAACTCATGGAAACATACTTTTGGCAGCTTCCAGGTCCCAAACTCGAATGGACCCTGACTGGGACCCTGCAACAATGAGTTCCTCATTCGTATTGATCTGTAGGCTCTCAATGGGTGTTGTATGGCCTGTCAAGCTCTGCAAAGAAAATGAGTCACAATTAGCAGCCACTGACGCAGCCCTGCCCACAGTGGGATTGTTCATACCCGAAGTATCTAGCCACCAGTTGGGACCCCCTGGTTGTGCCACTCGTCCTTTTTCCCCATCAGCTACCAGTATGGCAGAGCACCCGAAAGACCATCACTGCATAGAGCGATGTACTGTATCACTGTGCACGTATCTTCCATGTTATCCCACTTTCTGGGGCACACTGAGTAACTTTTAAGGTATGCATCAACAGACACGTGGGCATTGAAACATTAGGTGCGGATGCCCAGACAAGGTTGACGCATGCTTACATTATAAAAATTATGCTGTGCAAGCACAATGGCACCGTGTTTGCTCTAAATGGGTCACGTAAGTGTCATGAACCGGTTACAAAATCAAAGCAAGAGCAAAAGCAGGGCTACTTCGAAACCTTCAAATAAGCAAGGAGCCGTATGTTGCTGCCAGCAATGGGTGTCACAGTGATAACGTGGTGCTATTACTGAAGTATTAACTTGAGACATAAGGTAGTCATTCCAATGCATCCAGTTTCTTTCATCCTTGAGCATCTAGAAGCTTAAAAATCACATAAATATTTTGAAAAGGCCAGTATTTAATTAAAACACAAGAATATTTAAAACTAGCCCTAGAAAACTAATACCACTACTGCAGCCTATTTGCTTGTCAATCGAGCAACACTCTATGCTTTACTCCATCGTCAAATAGGTCTTTTTAAATAGCTGAGCGAGCTCTGCGCCTCCCACACATGTACAGAGGTTGGGAACGCCAGTTGAAAGCTGACGGTTCTGATGGGGCTTTCTTAGGATTTCACATGCAACTGAAATCCTCTATATGCTTTACAGCTGTGACCATCACTGCTCAGTGAGAAACAGAGCTCACACTTCAACCAGTCACAATGCTTTTTGAAAAGCCCCTCTTCTCCCTCTTCCCCAACACATAAACGTCTAGAATCCTAACAATGTAAACGCTAAAGATGAATTTCAGAGGAAAAAACGTACAGCATAACCCCACAAATCAAGATTCTTTTGATATACAAGAATGGCACAAGTCCTCAGCAGCTCCAGTCAGCCAATGCCTCTCAGAAATACCAACTTCTAACGTCTGTGGTTCCCAGGCAGCGCAGGAAAGCCAGAGCAGCGCTCTATTCCCACAGAAAGGGGACTTCAACCTTCCTTCTTGTGGAAGGTAATACTCTGTTTTCAAACTACTGTTATGCCACCAACAAGGGCCTGGAAGGACACAGCTTATTAACTACACTATGCAAGAAGCACAGCACTCCCAAAGGCAAGCGACTCCTTTTCAATCCATTTCAACCTCTTTATGCTTGACCTTAGTAAATGAATGGAAAAATAAAGTAGACGCATTCTTCTTTTAGCCTTTTCGATCCTATTTTCCCCGATTTCTTCCTCACAAGGTTCACAATGGCTGGAGAAATGCCTTCCATAACACAACATTATTGCGGTGCTAATTAAACAAGTGACAAGGGACACTTGTTAAAGATGGTTTTCCACAACACCCACTCAAAGCAAAAGCGATGCAGGACAGACATCTGTTAAATACATTTACAGCACGCTTTAGTGATCACTACGGGCGTAGCCCTACTCTTTCTAACACGCTGCACCCAGCATTACTCTTCCCCAGCATATAGGCAAGCTATTCTGACAAACTCTGCGCTGGGGATGTTTCCGGCTATGAGGGCAAACCCCAGGGTATAAAAGTGGCCCCTGCAGCTTGCACTATAAAACTAGCTGGTCTCGTACAAAATTCTGCACTTAATTATCTGTAGCCTGGTAACAGAAGGCAGAATATTCATTATCTGAGCAAGCGCTGGCCCAGCTGAAGTAGCCAGCCATCCCATACTCTCTCTGGAGCAGCGGTCTCATCAGTTACCAAATTCTGTCCCTATCTTTAGCTCAAATCCAGTCACCCAGCTTTGTGTTGGTAAACTCTATTCACGAGTCCCACTCAACAATCTTTTCCCTCATTCCCCACCCTCCATACCTCAGAATTAATATACCCATCTCTCCAAAGTTGAAAAGAGGCCTGTTCTTACCATGATGCAGTTGGGCTTGTTAACTGACCATATGTTGACCCGACAATCATCTCCTCCAGTTGCCAGCAGCCGGCCTGAACTTTTCCCCAGGACTAGTGAGGATACATTGCTGCTGTGGGCCGTGATCTCTTCTGCACAAAACAAAGCAAACAGTTATTACAGACCAATATAACAATTTTCCATGCCACCCCTCCCAAAGAACTAAAAAAAAATTCTTCCTCCAGAAACACTTTCCAGTTTCCACTGGAGAAGATGCAGCTGCCCACAGTTCAGATAAGAAGTCACATTATTATCTTGCTTGAAACAGTCCTTCTTGGCTCTGCCTGCTGTACTTAAAACATTTGCTGACCAAGCTTCACAAGTCCAGTGCTTGTGTTGCTTACAGAAAACATCGTCTCTCACTAGCAGCAGCTCGGTAGCTTTTAAAGATTTGCTCAACTGTGGCAACCTGCTCACAGGAGCTGCTTTACCTTCGGTACCCGGGTGGGTCTCAGTAAGCCAAGCTGCCTTAGAAGCTGCAATAATATGCAGCAGCCAGAGTCATCTAGCGAAAGGCCCTGTAATCCCGTTCTAGAAACCAGCAGTTGACTGTCCAACCTGAGAGGAGCTGGCAGATTAGCAGCAGTACAGTTGGTTACCTTACACACAAAAGAAAAAAAAAAAAAAAAAAGCCCAACTCAGCAGCGGGGATAGGTGGAGCTCCCTTCTCCGAGTCTTGGCAGAGGCTTTGCTACGTTCCCACTATGTAACACAGGGGAAACTGAGCAGTGCACAGTGTGAAACTGTGACAAATGAAGGATGAATATATATATCCAAAAGAGCACAAAAGAACAAATGCAGTTGATACTAAAAGACTGTTAAAAAACTGGGGGCTGAGGGGAAGCTCCGACACTGAGAGGGCTTCACAATGACAGAACTCTAAGGAAGCCTCAGCATAAAGAAATAAGTTTGGGGCAAAAGAGAAGTCAAATGAGCATCTTTGCTTAGACATCTAATTTTCACAGGGGATTTTTAAATCTGCTCAAATTTTTGGCAGGGGCTTTTAGCAAATGTATTCACCAATTTCTTCCTCTTACAGTTCTCTTCTTTGAAAGTTCACGGGATTTGCATGCCTAATACTTATGAAACTTGTTTGTAAGAAGGCTAGGTAGCAATCAATTCAGCTTTCGTTCAGATTGTTTTGGTGGGAGGAGCAATTTGATCACTTTACGTGCAACGCTAATCCAAAAGGATGTTAGACGGCTGCAATAATAATTACAGGTACTTTGATCTCGAGCTCTCAGAGTGCTTTTTTGAAAGCAAAACTGCGCAACTTTCACTTGAGATGGAGAAACACCTTTCAAATTACAAAGGTAACTGGACCGTAAATTACATGAGAAGGGCAAATCTGAAAATATGCTTGTGTTGAAAGACCAATCTTCCATATGACAATGCTAAAGTAAAGTAGGTACATATACACAGACTTGAAGGTAACAAACAGTACAACAGGCCAACTCACTAGTTAAAATTGAGAAGGTAGATGCTGAGCATTGCTGCTAAAATGAGTGCGTCAGCAGCTCCACTTTTTCCCTCCTCTTGATTTCATTCTTAATAATATATTGCAAGTTTAAAAGTCATTGGTGAAGCATTCAACTCTCTGTTCCTAAAAGCCAGGTTATAAACTGATGCCAGTCTCAGCCAGATAGCATCATCCTCTCCCTCGGTGAAATGTCAATTCCCTTAAACCCACAATTTTTTTTTTTTTTTTAATGGAGTATTCATCACCAGATATCACCCACCAGCTCAGTAACACTAAGCTCCTAATTAGCATCGCCAAAACATTCCTAACATTCAGAAGGCTTCTTGCTCTAAAGAGGATGCTAAGATGTGGCAGAGCCTAGCAAAAATGAAGATCAAGATCTTCTGCCCATCTAAAGAGAATGGAGATTGATCGACTTCCAGCTTTTCCTATAACTGGAGTTTCAGGGATGGGATGGGAAGATAACACAGGAAACTGACTTTCTGCTTAAAATGATATGAAATTACTAAAAGTTGATTATCTCAGCTCCCTTAATGCGTTACCAGTCAAGGATACCTTATTTCTGCCAGCCAATTTCTAGGCCCCAAGCCACACTGTAAAACTCACACTTCTGAACAACCGATCACTTCCCATTGCTTCTAAGCATTCCTCAACAGCCCCAATGAAATTACTCAGTGAAGAGGCTAGAAATAGATAGTCAGCAACTGTCTACTGCGCCTTCTGAGGAAAAATAATGGAGGTAAAAGCAGCAGATTCTTACTGCTTGCAAAGCCATTTCAAGAGAATGAGACATACAGGCGCTGCAAAGATCACCTCATCCCTCCCGCAGCAAAGAGCTCCGCGTGCCTTCTGTAACAAGCGAGCAGCAAGGAAGGACAAACCCGAGGGAACCCCCTGCTGCAGCCTGGGCTCTGGAGCGGGGTTTCCATCGCTCCCTTGGTCGTTCTTGTACTACCTGAGAGCCACATGGGGTTAGCTAGAAATTTAGGATAGCATATCAGAAACTAATCAGAAAAAATACAGGCCGTAACCCTTTGAAAATAGCAGTGATCAGGCCCCAGGCTATTCCACTATGCTGCTATATTTTTCAAAAGGATTTTTTAGGACTTAAAAATTCCAGTCAGCACCTTGGAAAGAGGGCCGGGGCACCCACACCCAAGGCAGGGATTAGCTGGTTCCTATCACAAACCGCCGCTTCCACCCCCTCCCGTTCCAGCTGGGGAAGCTCCTCCGCCCTCCCTGGGCAGAGCAGCCCGGCGACACTCACGCAGCTTCCACGCCGTCTTAGTGGTGACGGCCACGGCCATGGCTGAGCGCGGCGCCTCTCCGACGGGCAGGGCAGGGCAGAACCGCCTTCCTCCTCCCAGAGGGGCTCCGCCGCCCGGCCC